CTATGAATTACAATCAAAGAATAAAATTTTATAGAGGAAAATAAATTTAATGATATAAAATGGAAAATAAGACCCAGGCAAATATTTTTAAAAAAAAAAGAAGAAAAAGGAAAGAAAACATGCGATTTCCATAAAAGGAAACATCAATATATAACATCTTAAATACTCTGAAATACATTCTGTTAAATCAAGCTTTTGCAAAGTTTTCTCTGCGTGAACAAAACACTGAAATATCTCTCTCTCTCTCTCTCTCTCTCTCTCTCTCTATATATATATATATATATATATATATATATATATATATATATATTCTCTATATACTTACCAAATTACAGTTCCGGGATTTTTTACAAATAGGAAAGCGAATGTTGCTTATCAATCTCAAGCCTTTCTCCCACCTACGCAAAAGCACAGGCTATCACAAAAGTCATACAAGACAAAAAAAATAGTGTTTTCTACATTGTGCCTAAAACTACAGGAATCTTTTTGGCAATACACGCACACACACACACACACACACACACACACACACACACACACATATATATATATATATATATATATATATATATATATATATATATATATTGTAAATTTAATAAATATATATATATATATATATATATATATATATATATATATATATATATATATATATATATACTGAAAAAATACGATGAAGAGAATTTTATCTAACAACCAAATACCAGTCCGATGAACAGAGAAAAGTTATATTTTAATAGACTTTCTCTTCCGTCTCTAAAATGTCTGTACAATCATTTTCATTCAGAAAGTTTTCAATTTTCTAACATACCTTCATAAACAATATTTTTCTAATATTTATCTTCTTATTATTATTATCGTAATAATAATAATAATAATAATAATAATAATAATAATAATAATAATAATGAGCTGAAATCTGAAAAAGGTGACACATGAAGATGTCAATAATTCAAGCTGTAGTTGGAGTCCTCGATTTGACTGTAAAATCTCTGATAAACTCATTTAAGGCATCCCTTGTAGACTATGCCTTAGAGAAATACATAAAATTGTTCTCAAAACACAATTCATATCCTACGATATCCTCTATGAAAAATTTGTTTAATATTAGTAGGTGGTGTATATACTTTTTTTTTATTTTTAAATGTTCAGTAGAATAAAATTTTTGACCTTAGACATCTGATCGGGATCCGGAAGGAAATGACAACAGAAATCGAAGGCAATAATAATAATAATAATAATAATAATAATAATAATAATCTCGAAAATGTGGCATATGGGAACATCAACAATCCCTGTTGCAGTTGGAGCCCTAGGACTGGTTGGAAAAGATTGCAGTAGACTAATTGAAGGGATTCCTGGAAGTCCATGCCTCAAGGAGATACAAAAAATTGTTCTAACAAGTACAGCCCACACATTAAGGGCTTTATCTATGTAATTTTTTTTTTTTTTTTTTTTTTGTCAGTGGAAAGTGTCATGACGCCATTTCTAACCTTAGATCCCTGGGCGGGACCCGGAAAGAAATGTGTAAACGCCAGAAATCAAAGAAAATAATAATAATAATAATAATAATAATAATGATAATAATAATGATGATGATTAATTAATTAATTGAGAAATTGATTTCTTGTTCATTTGTTTAAAAAAATAATTAAACAGATTATTTTGTCTTATTTGGATAATTCCATAATCTTTTTTTTCGGGTTCATTCGGCCACTTCATAGTAAGATGAAAAATCAGCCGACAACAATGATTAATATGAACACTGTAAGGTTTCTCACTTACAACTAAATTTCGATATCCTTTCTATTCAAACGCAATAAATTTGAAAATAAAATGTTACCAAAAAAAAAAATGTATATATAAAGGATTGGTATTGGGTTTTTTATAAGGTGTGTATGTATTTTTATTTAGATCTAATGTTATATCTAGGAAGTCTACTTTTTTTATACATCCTAAATCAAATCACCCCCCATCTATAATTAAACATATACCGTTATCTATCAGTAAACGAATTAGTACAAATTCAGCAAATGACAAGATTTTCGATGAGCATATCAATTCCTATAATAAGGCTCTAAAAGATAGTGGCTACAAAAACCCAAAACTAACTTATATAAAAAATGAAAATGGAAAGCATAGAAAAAACAGATGTAAAAAGATTATTTGGTATACTCCCCTATATAACCAAATGGTAAAGAACAAATTAGGACATAAATTCCTCGCATTAATAGTCAAGCATGAAAGTAAACTAAGTACTATTTTCAATAAAAACACACTAAAATTGAGTTATAGCTGTACAAAAAACTTAGAAAAAATCATTAATAACCATAATGCTAATATCTTAAATAAACACTTATACCAAAACCAAAAAAGTTTAGACAATGGAAAAATTAAGATAAAAACTGATGGAAATAAACAAAAACTATGTAACTGTAGAAACCCTCAAAATTGCCCACTACAAAATAAATATCTGAATCATTAGTATACCAATGCAATATCTCTTCGATTGAAAGTCCTGATAACATAAAAATATATATAGGTTGCACTAGCCATGAATTCAAAAAAAGATTCAACCAACATCAAACTTCATTTAGAATAAATAGATATAAAAATCAGACATCTCTCTCAAAATATTTCTGGCATCTAAAAGAATCAAATAAAACTCCTACAGTAAAATGGAAGTTAATAAGAAAAGCTAGAATTTGTAGGTCATTAAACGACCCTTGTCCTCTATGCATACACGAGAAACTATATATTACTAAGTTTATAAAAAATAAAAATTTACTGAATCAGAGAAATGAAATAGCTATTATGTGCCGTCATTGTCAAAAATTTTCCTTAAATAATATATATATAAAAAAAGTCTATTAGAATAACAGTGAAAATATTTTAAACTTGTATTTAAAATTTTAAAATTTAAATTGTAGTTAAAACGAATTCAAACCTAAGCATCTTTTAAAAATTGTAGTTAAATAAAATGTATGCTAACCGAAACACCTCTATAATAAATGTACTACAGGCACTTGAATGAATCCAATAAAACACCTACTGAAAAATGAAATGATAACAAAAGCTAGATGATGTAGGGTAGTGTACGACCCATGTTCTTTGTACATACATATGAAACTTTATTACTTATGTTACATATATTTGAAATAAATAAATTAATTAATTAATAAATAAAGTTTACTAAATCTGAGAAATGACTTAGCTAGTTTTGTTGTAAGTGCCATTAATATTACTTAAATAATATTTAAATATAAAAGTTTAAAAATTGTAATTTACATATACTTTGATATGGAAAAATAATTTTACTCACTATGAGTAATTTTCCTTCAGTTATAAAGTAATATAGTCTATTAAAACTAACAATGAAAATATTTTAAAATTTTAAAGTTGTAATTTTAAAATTGTAATTAAAATTGTAGTTAAATAAAATGAATTATAACTTCTTTTAATTAGTACTAAACGCACCTAAAAGAATCCCAAAAAAACACCTATAGTAAAATAAAATTAATAGGAAATGCCATAAGATGTAAGCTTTTGAATGACCCATGTCCTTTGTACTTACATGAGAAACATTATATTACTAGGTTTATATATATATAAAAATAAAAGTTTACTAAATCAGTAACCATTTTTGCCGTCATAGTCGTAAATTTTTTATAAAAAAAAAATGTAACCTCATACTTAAACTTGATGTTAAAATAATCCTACATAATATAATGGATTCTAATACATTTAACTGTTCTTAAAAAGAATATAGTATAATAAAAATTAAAAAGGAGAATATTTCAAATCGTAGTTAAATAAAATGTATTACGATCTGAACACCCCCGAAAATCTTTAAATTTATAAATGGAAAAAAAAAAAATGCCGTAAGAATTTTTTTACCGTTAACAATAATTTTTTTTTTAAAAATCCAGACGACATCCATTCAACGGATGTCAGTTTTCATTGAAAAATACATCCCTACCCCTTACCAAATTGATACAATGATACTGACATAAGGAAAATCTAGACATCCCTTGTCCAATTCAAGTAGAATATTCTGTAACCATGGAAACGTGATTTTAGCTGTGTCTTTAAAACCCGGTAATTTTTAAAAGTTACTCCAAAATTCGCTTGAAGATGAAATGGAACTAATGCTTTTAATTTAATTGCAAAATTAAATTCGGGTCTTTTAGCTTCTATTTTTGAAACATGGTTAGAACTGTGTAGCAAAAAAACAACATATTTTAAATCAATTAATTTATAATATTGATGCTCTGTATATTTTACATTGAGCACTATTTTGTAAAAATAAAAATATCTATAAGAACACCGGATTTTATATCTTACTGTTCTTTCTTTATATATATATATATATATATATATATATATATATATATATATATATATATATATATATATATATAAAAGCTGTCTGCGTGACACCTGTGGAGTTAACCTTCAAGATAAGACATCTAACGTAGACCTGTTTAACAAGTGTAATATTTGAAGGAATCGAGAATTTTATCCTACAGTCTCAGTTACGGTGGACTGGTCATGTCTTGAGAATGTCTGATGACAGGATACACAAGATCCTAATGTACAGCCAGTTAGATCAGGGCTACAGGAATGTAGGACGTACCATGACTAAGATACAAAGACAAGCTGAAGAGCAACTTGTCAGCTGTCAATATATCTAACACCCTCGAGCGCTTAGCCTTGGAGCGGGTAAAATGAAGATCAACGTGGATTAGTAGTTTTCAATCAACTTGTCTGAATCGTCTTCCAGAAGCGAGAGCAAGATCTAAAAGGTCAGCCAAACTAACAGTGATTTCATTCCAGAATCCTTACTCCTGCTCCATATGCGGCCTCTTTTGTAAATACTCAGCGGGTCTTACGAGCCACTTAAGATTATCGCACAAAATTTCATAAGTTTTCAGATCCTCATACGTCGAAACTGACGAGTGAGTCCATGATATATATATATATATATATATATATAT